AGGCCTACAAATCACACCCTAACACTCTCATTCCCAAAACAAGATCAATGAACCAATAGAAGTATCACTTTGTGAAGCACTTTCTTGCATTTTTAGATGCAAAATCATTAATTAAACTTGTATAATCAAGCTTCTCCACTATATTTTTCTCAATTGACAATATAGCTAAGTCATTCAATCTTTTTTGTGACATAGTTAATCAAAGGTAAAATTTGATCAAATTTAACTTTGAATAGCTTATTTTTGCAGAGGCAATAGTAATATGTATGGCCAACAATATTCTGTAAGCAAACCAAGCATTCGGAAAAGTACCATCCACTTTCTTCAAATAATTCAGCACGTCAATTGCTTTTTTTGTTTCTTTTGATAAGTATTCTCTCAAAAGTTTTAACTCTAAAAATAAATCTTCGTCATCAATATCAAAATGACTGTCATGCTTTAAATATTCTTCAAGTTTCGCACAATAAGCCTTCAAACTAGCATCATCAACAATGTTGAATTTCTTCAAATCAAATAAAAACCCAAAGACTTCTTCATAATGCCGAAATTGTCCAAACCTACTCTTAAGAGAAGAAATAGCTTGATCCATATATATAGAAAGTATTTAACTCTAAATGATTCTTCAGAAGATAATATTGTCTCTTCGGTAGCACTTTCATCAAATTGCCTCTTCTTGCGAATGATACGCTTTTCACAAAATACAGCTTCAATTTCCATTTCAGATGCAACATTTTAGCTTTAGTAATGACCTCCTTAAATCCATTTTCTCTGTACTTTTCAAAAAATAATATAAGCCCATTCAATTGATCTATAGCAATATCAATTTGCATGTCTTCCTTTTGCAAAAATTTGCTAACATAATTAACAGCAGATAATAAATTATGCCAAATAATTGTACCCAATAAGAACTCAAAATTCTCCATTTCATTTGTTGCTAAGGACTCAGCTTCGCTCTTTATTTTTGGATCTCCATCGATACTTGCCAAGTGAATTAAAGCATCTCTTATTTCTGTAGCTTGAAATCTTACTGCTTTTACACTTTTAACATGACTTTCCCACCGTGTTTGTGACAATGGCTTATGTGTGAGACCAGAAACATGTTCTTTGAAAATATCCCACCACTTAGTACAAGATGAAAACAAAGTATATAAACGTTGTATCACTTCAAAAAAAGATATAACTTTCGAACAAGAGTTTTCCATATCGCAAAGTGTAAGGTTAAGACTATGACAACCACATGGAGTGTAGAATGCTCTAGGATTTACTTCGAGGAGTTTTTTCTGCACACCTTTATTTTTTCCTTTCATATTAGATCCATTGTCATACCATTGTCCTCTAACATTAGAAATGTCAAGTTTCAGAATCCAAGGTTTTAAATGTCGGATGTCAGGTTCATGTCGGATGGCTGAAATCCATGTCGGATAGCGAAAATCAGGGATATATCGGGGGACATTGACTAAATATCGGATTATCATATCGAGTAGTGCGCATATGTATAATATCATGTCCTAAATATAATCTAAGCATTTATAAATTCAATAGAAGCATAATTTATAAATTCTATAGACTAAACATATAAAAAAGTAAATAATATATGGATTTGGGTTCATAAACATATAAAAAAGTAAATAATATATGGATTTGGGTTCATAAATTCTTTCTATCGGGTTCATAAGAAACCCTTAATATATGGATTTGGGTTCATAAATTCTTTCTATCGGGTTCATAAGAAACCCTTAAACATGAGAACGGGTCTAATAGGTTTGGGTATTTATCACTAAACCCAAACCCGATAATAAAAAACAGATCTTAAAAAAGTACCATATCGGCCGATTTTTCAAAGCTAAAAATTAGGCCGATATGCTTAATATGATCTTAGTATTTCCGATTTGGTCCTAAAAACCGACATACGAGTTGAAAACGTTCATGTCGTGTCGGTCAAGCCCTCAAACCGATATGTCGGTCGACATGTCAGACATGTCGGCCGACATTTAAAACCTTGCCAGAATCTTCAATACATCTTCAAGTTCGCTAAAAAGTCTCAGTCCTGACGTGTCGTCGACCTTAAAAATCTCTAGAAAGAACTCTTCTACCTTTACTAGACTTTCTGAAACATCCACACATCATATTATAAGAGTCATTTGTTCTTCATGGCTTATATTTAGAGTACAATCTAGTATAACAGCAAAGTATTTTGCTTCTTTGATTATTTTAATCATTGTATGTTTGATCTCTCCCGCTAACATTCCTATCAGTTCATTTTGAATTTTATGACTGAGATAATGCTTATGAGATTCACAACTTTGATAACGTCGAATATGCTCTTTCATTACCGGATCAAATTCGGCAATCATTTCAATTAAACTTAATTGATAACGTCGAATATGCTCTTTCATTACCGGATCAAATTCGGCAATCATTTCAATTAAACTTAAAAAAAATTCATTGATCTCTTGATAAATCTTCTCATTATCCCCGCGAAATGCTAAACCATTTTTAGCAAGTATTTTTACAACAAGTATTCTTAATATTCTTAATAATACTTGTCTCCAATGTTCTCTCTTTTTGTTTAATATTTCTTGTGGAAATATATGTTTTTTCTTATTCCAATGGAGTTGTGCACAAAGGCCTTTTATACACCTAAGGAGCTGAATATGGTTCCTTGATTATAGGGATGAAATCTCTCTAAAATAGCAACTAACCTATCATAGAAGATATGTACAACTATATAGGATTTGAAAATAATATTCAGATCCTCTAAAAATAGAAACTAATTATAACAAAGAAATAAATCCTAACTAACTCCTATTTACAATGAATCCTAATATTTCTACACCCCCCTCAAGCTGGGGAGTATATATTGATCATTCCCAGCTTGGAGCATAGATTTTCAAATGTAGGCCTTTGGAGAGCTTTAGTTAGGATATCTGCAGTTTGCTGTTATGATGGCGTATATCCAAGGTTGATGATTTTTGCTTCAATCTTCTCTCTTATGAAATGTCGATCAACCTCGATATGCTTTGTTCGATCATGATGGACAGGATTCCTTGCAATGCTTATAGCTGTCTGGTTGTCACACAAGAGTGTGATTGACTCTGAGTTCTCAACTTTGAGTTCGTTGAGCAATCTTTTAAGCCACATTCCTTCGCATATTCGTTGTGACATGGCACGATACTCAGCTTCTGCACTACTCCTTGCAACAACGGATTGTTTCTTTCTTCTCCACGTGATGAGATTGCCCCACACAAATGTACAGTAACCTGAGGTGGACCTCCTATCAGAGAGAGATCCGGCCCAATCTGCATCAGTGAACACCTTGATTCCTCTATCTGAACCTTTTGTAAATGCTAGTCCTTTGCCCGGTGTACTTTTAAGATATCCCAGAATCCGATATGCTACCTCCATATGTTCCTTTGTAGGGCTGTTCATAAATTGGCGTACAACACTCACTGAGAATCCTATGTCTGGTCTTGTATGGGAAAGGTAGATTAGTCTTCCTACTAACCTTTGGTACTGCTCTTTATCTACCTGTGTACTGTCCTGTTTGGATCCTACTTTGTTGTATGGATCCATTGGTGTGTCAGCTGGTTTACTCCCTATGTGTACTGTCCTGTTTGGATCCTACTTTGTTGTATGGATCCATTGGTGTGTCAGCTGGTTTACTCCCTAGCATTCCTGTCTCTTTTAGGAGATCAATGACATACTTCCTTTGAGAGATGAAGATTCCTTTTCTTGATCTAGCGACTTCCATTTCAAGGAAATACTTTAAATTTTTGAGATCTTTAATCTCAAATTCCCTTGACAAGAGGTTTTTCAGATGGGTATCTTCTATGTGATCATTGCCGATCAGGACTATATCATCAACATAGACAATGAGAATGGTTACATTCTGATCCGAGGTGTGGTTGACAAAAAGGGTGTGATCCGCTTGGCATTGAGAGTATCCAGTCCCTTTGAGAACCTTAGAGAACCTATCGAACCATGCGCGAGGGGACTGTTTGAGGCCGTAGAGGGACTTTCTGAGTTTGCATACTTTGCCTTGAGTAGCCTTTGTGTTGAAACCTGGTGGAATGTCCATAAAAACTTCTTCCTCAAGGTCACCATTGAGGAAGGCGTTTTTGACATCAAGTTGGTGGAGCGGCCAATTTAGGTTTGTAGCGATAGATAACAAGACTCTGATGGTGTTTAACTTGGCAACCAGTGCGAAAGTCTATTGGTAGTCTATTCCGTATGATTGAGTGAACCCTTTAGCTACCAAACGTGTAAGGACCGTGAATTTTGATACTAGTTAAAATAAATTTTTTGGTATTTTAAAATATTTAATTATTATTCTTAAAAAGAGTATTTGTATTTTCTCGATTTTGTATAATTTTCTATGATTTAAAAATCTGATTATATATTTATTTAAATGATTTTGATATTTATAAATTTATTTTGTGTGATAAAAATTTCTGAAATTAATTTATTATGTTATCAATACTATTATGTAATATTTTAAATAATATATTGTATTATTAAAATTATTACAAATTATTTCATATAATACATAGTATTATTAATTACGTATTTTTGGTATAATTTATTGTATTATTTCTATTGTTACATATTATCTATCGTATTAGTATAACTAGTACGTTTTACTGTGTGTATAATTGTCTCATAATTATTTAATTTTAAATTTAAGTAAAAATATTTTTATTATTAATTATTCTTGTTTAATTATACAATATGAGTATTTTTCGACTATTTCGTATCAAATATTTTATTAGCTCAACATGTACGTTTTTAATTGTAGATGATTATTATGTAATTAGTTTAATTTTAAAGTATTCAAAAGTAATTATTTTAATTATTTTAACCTAAACCCTAACCCTAATATATTATATATATATATATATATATGTACATGTTTTCAATTTCCCTCTACTGTTCACGAATCCGCCGCCTCCCTATTTCTCTCTCTCCTCCCTCGTTCTCTCTCTTCGCAATCTGCACCGACCTCCGGCTCCGCCTCTCGAACGCCATCGCCGTGCACGTGCTCGCCTCGCCGTCCCCTCTCCTTCTCGCCCCCACTGTCCGCGTCGAGCCCGCTGCGCTACCTCCTCAAGCACCGGCGCGAGCCCGACGAACCGCCGCTGCCTCTCTCCCCTCGATCGCCACCAGCCGCACCACTCCTCCTCCATATTCTCCACCCTGTCCGCCGCCTGCAGCCACAACCGCCACCCGAGCTCCGACGAACCCCACAACACGATCACCTCGTCCAGATCTGCAGCGCCCGCCGCCTGAGCCGCTGCTCCGCCAGCTCGCCGCTGCTGCCCTCTGACCTGGCCTCCGACAGCCCAGAGCGCCGCCTCACCCCCAGCCTTCATCCCCGCGCCGGTCAGCACTCCACCCCGGCCTCTCCTCTCCAAACCACGCACATCATAGTGCCCGTCGCTGCTCGAGCCGTCGACCTACTGCCCCGTCGTCGGACAACCCCTCGCCGGAGTCCCGACAAACGCTCTTCAGACCCACGTCAGATTCGACCCGCACCGTCAGCGTCGATCCGTTCGACACAACCCGAGGCAAGATCCCGATCCTTATTTAGTTTCGTTCCAATCCTTATATTTGTCATAGATTATTTATGTGCAAGATCCCGCTTCGATTGATTTACCATTTTATTATTTATATCTGTATTTATTAATTGCATAGATTAGACTGTTATTATCTGCGTGGTTTGGTTGATGAGTGATATTAGTGGTAATAATGAGATAATTACTGAGTGGTTATATTCGTAAAGAGGGGGTATGATATGTATTATGAGTCGTATGTGATGAAATGATATTTTGACGATTATATTATAATTAATTATGAGATATTTTGAAAGAAAGAAATTTTGTAAAGATTATTTTGGAATATTATAGTAATAAATAAATTAAAGAGTTTATTTCGGCAATGGATTCATTTTTGGGAAATTATAATGATTTAAAAGAATTTAATTCGGTAGCGAAATCTTTTAGATAATTATATTAAATTAAAAGAATTTATTTTGAAAAAGAAATTATTTTAGATTAATTATGATGAGAAAAGAAATTATTTTGATCATGGAACCAATTTAGAGAATTTATAATAATTAAAAAGAATTTATTTTGAGAAAAGATTATTTTAGAATAATTATTATGAATTAAAAGAATTTATTTCGGTAGTGGAATCTTTTTGGATAATTATATTAATTAAAAGAATTTGTTTGAGAACGGATCATTTAGAAAAATTATAATAATTTAAAAGAAATTATTTTCGGCAAAAGAATTATATTTTTGATAATTATGATGATTTAAAGGAATTTATTCGCAAAGATAATTATCTATTTTAGATTTAAGTAATTTATGATTTTATATGAATAGTTTAGATGGCTGGATAACAAGATGTTGGTGAAACCTGACTGCAAGTATGTTTTTACTGTTTACGATCATATTTCACGTTTTGCATTTATTTAATGTATTTGACATGTCTGTTATGTGTTATCCATGTTGTGTTTGAGAACCCTTAGTAGTTCATGACTTAGTGGCCTCGTGCGTCATGAACAGACTTAGTGACATGTGTGAGTGTGTTGACTGAGTTTAGGTGGTGAACCCGAGTTTCAATGAGGATTATGGTTGACTTAGAAAACGAGAAGAGTTGGGATGAGGAAGTTAATGTTCATGTGCTTGGATGTGACTGTTGATGTATCTTCCAGCCCACGCCGATGAATTCGTGTAGTCACTGGGGTTGGTTTGTTGGTCTAAAGTGAATTCGTGTAGTCACTTTAGTCCGTGACTTGTTTCGTCACCTGAGCTTTGCCTGAGTTCGGACCAGGCCGAGATCGGATTGCGTGTAGTCCTCTGACCGATTCGTGTAGCGGTATTGGATGCGCGTAGAGGATTTGTGAACAGTCAGTTATCCGGTGATATGAGCGTTGACTTTATGTGAGATGTGGACCAGTGAGTTTTAGAATGGCTAGTTACATGACCTTGTTGCTGTGCTAGGTATGGATTATTGTGAGATGTAGGACAGTTGTGTTTCTTTTCATACATAGATCAGGGTTAATATTTAATTATCTATAATTTGAGACATATGGTATATACATGAGGGTTTCCTTGTTTGGATTATTTCGCTCGACGTACTACGTCTCTTGTTATAGANCCTCATAATTATTTATATTTTAAATTTAAAGTAAAAATATTTTTATTATTAATTATTCTTGTTTAATTTTATACAATATGGCAGTATTTTTTCGGTCACTATTTCGTATCAAATATTTTATTAGCTCAACATGGTACGTTTTTAATTGTAGATGATTATTATGCTAATTAGGTTTAATTTTAAATTATTCAAAAGAATTATTTTAATTATTTTTAAACCTTAAACCCTAACCCTAATATTATTTATATAATATATATATATATATGCTACATGTTTTCAATTTCCCTCTACTGCTCACGAATCCGCCGCCTCCCTATTTCTCTCGTCTCCTCCCTCAGTTTCTCTCTCTTCCAATGCCACCGCACTCCTGGCCTCCGCCTCCTTCGAACCATCGCCCGGTGCACTGCTCGCCTCGCCGTCCCCCTCTCCTTCTCGCCCCCACTGTCCGCGTCGAGCCCGCTGCCGCTTACCTCCTTCAGCACCGCGCCCGAGACCCGACGAACCGCCGCTGCTTCTTCCCCTCGATCGCCACCAAGCCGCACCACCTCCTCCTCCATATTTCTCCACTCCTTGTCCGCCCGCCTTGCAGCCCACAACCGGCCCACCCGCAGCTCCGACGAACCCCACAACAGCGGATCACCTCGTCCAGATCTGCAGCGCCCGCGGCCTGAGCCGCCTGCTCCGCCCAGCTCGCCGCTGCTGCTCTCGCCCTGACTGGCCTCGACAGCCCAGAGCGCCGCTACCCCAGCCTTCAATCCCGCGTCCGCGTCAGCACTCCACCCCGGCCTCTCCTCTCCAAACCACGCAACATTCATAGTGCCCGTCGCCTGCTCGAGCGCCGTCGACCTACTTGCCCCGTTCGTCGGACACCCCTCGCCGTCCCTTTAGTCCCCGACGACGCTCTTCAGACCCACGTCAGCATTATCGGACCCGCACCGCTCAGGTCGATCCGTTCGACACAACCCGAGGCAAAGATTCCCGCATCCTTATTTTGTTTCGTTCCAATCCTTATATTTGTCATTAGATTATTATGTGCAAGATCCCGCTTCGATTTGATTTCCATTTTATTATTTATATGCATGTTATTTACTTAATTGCATAGATTCAGGCACTGCTTATTATCTGGGTGAGTTGCTGTTAGATGGTGATATTAGTTGTAATATGATGAGATAATTACTGAGTGGTTATATTCGTAAAAGGGCGGTATGATATGTATTTATGGAGTCGTATGTGATGAAATGGATATTTTGACGATTTTCATATTATATTAATTATTGAGATATTTTTGAAAGGGCAAAGAAATTTTGCTAAAGATTATTTGGATATTATAGTAATACAATAAATTAAAAGTTATTTTCTGGGCAATGGATTCATTTTGGGAGAAAATTATTAATGATTCTATAAGAATTTAATTCCGGTCTAGCGAAATCTTTGTAGATAATTATATTGAAATTAAAAGAATTTATTTGGAAAAAGAAATTATTTTAGATTAATTATGATGAGAAAAGAAATTATTTTTGATCATTTGGAACCAATTTAGGAGAATTTATATAATTAAAAAGAATTTATTTTAGAAAAGATTATTTTAGAATAATTTATTGATGAATTTAAAAGAATTTATCTTCTGGTAAGTGGAATCTTTTGGTCATAATTATATTAATTAAAAGAATGTTGTTGAGAACGGATCATTTAGAAAAATTATTAATAATTTAAAAGAATTATTTTCGGCAAAAGAATTATATTTGATTAATTATGATGATTTAAAGGAATATTCGCAATAGCATAATTATCTATTTAGATTTAAGTAATTTATGATTTTATATGAATAGTTATAGATGGCTGGATAACAAAGATCGTTTGGCTGAACCTGATACTGCCATGTATGTTTTATTACTGTTTACGAATCATATTTCACGTTTTGCATTTGATTAATGTATTTGACATGTCTCTTATGTTTGTTTATCCTGTTGCTTTTGAGAACCCTTAGTAGCTCATGTACTTAGTGGCCTCGTGCGTCGATGAACAGACTTAGCTGACTGATGTGTGGTGTGTTGACTGAGTTTTAGCGTGGTGAACCCGAGTTTCAATTGAGGATTATGCGTTGGACTTAAGAAAACGAGAAGAGTGCGGATTGAGGAAGTTTAATGTTCATGTGCTTTGGATTGTGACTGTTGATGTATCTTCCAGCCCAACGCGGATGAATTCGTGTAGTCAGTGGGTTTGCGTTTGTTTGCTGTCTAAAGTGAATTTCGATGTAGTCACTTTTAGTCCTGTGACTTGTTTCGCTCACCTTGAGCTTTCCCTGAGTTCGGACCAGGCCGAGATCCGGATTGCGTGTAGTCCTCTGACCGATTCGTGTAGCGCGTATTGGATGCGCGGTAGAGCGATTTGTTGAACAGTCAGTTATCCGGTGATATGAGCATTGACTTTTATGTGAGATGTGAGACCAGTGAGTTTTAGAATGCGCTAGTTACTGATGACCTTGTTGCTGCTGCTTAGTCGTAATGGGATTATTGTGAGATGTTAGCCGACAGTTGCTTGTTTCTTGTTCATACATGATCAGCTGGTTAATATTTATTATCTATTAATTTGAAGACATATGCGTATATACATGAGGGTTTTCCTTGTTTGAGATTATTTCGCTCGACGTACTACGCTCTTGTTATAGATTTTAAGTATTAATTCATCTAGTGTATGCCCTTGTTGCTTTTTGAGATTCTGATCGTTAGCTGCCATGACTCGTACCTGATCGATTTTGGATGCTTTATGTTATCATGATTTAGTAGCTATTTTCATTGTTGATTGGTGGATTTCAGTTGTACGTTCTTTTGTTATTCTGTTATCGTATCGTATTTTCGCCATTGGATTTCCTGTTTCGATTTTCTATTTTCTTTTATCGGGGCTCGGCTCTTGCAGTGCGCCATGCACCTGACGGTACACCTGTTTATCTCTGGTGTACGGTCAGACTTAGAGGCAAGAACAGGTCAGCCTGAGAAATCAGCAAGGATCCCAGTAGGATTTCTCAGCAGGAGTGTTTCTTGTAGACGGATGCAGAAGGTAGGAGCTCGAAGCCTATTCTTTGATGGTTCCAGTTAACTTTTGTAGTTTCTTTTTCATTCCTGCTTGAACGATGAATTTTGTATCTTTCCAGCATTCTCTTGTTCATATTTGTATAAGGGCACGTTTGACCCGTATTTTGATGTCTCGGATGGTATTTCTTTATGATATGGATTATTTCAGTTCTGGGTTGTTCATTATATTCTTGCTATCTGTGATCGGGGACATGTGACTTCGTATTGTATTAATTCCAGACGCTTAGCGTATTAGATTGAGAAGACGGGGTCTAGCACTTATCTCTTCTCAGTCTAATACGTCGCGGGCTTGTTCACGTTCCGATTCCCGG